GGTTGTTCTCCAGATTTCTTGGCACAACTTGGTGAGCACATCCAGGGTAACATCTGTTATCTGAAATACTTCAAATGGTATACCATCTATTCCTGGGGCTTTATTTTTTGCTATTTCCTTCAAAGCAGCTTTTTATGTTGCATATAAAAGTGTAAAATTATTTAAAAATGTATACAACATAAATAGCCTTTCCATTCTATTCCAGAAGTAAAAACATGCTTTAGAAATCAGTTCAAAATTTTTATTTCTATTACTAGTTCAACTTCAAATTTAACAAGTATCTTGCTAAACTTATACAGAAAGCACTAGATTCAGCACAGATAGAAAAAGCTAAAAGCAGTTAATCAGGATCCCTCTACTAGCAGAAATTAATTTTTGTGCAGGATAGGATGTAGAATTTCCACTTGGACTATTCAAAGTGGAGACAATGACTTGGAATTCTCACTACTGGAGAGGATTTCAAGGTCCAGGTATTTCTTTTATTTCTTGGTTTGTACTATCCCAAAGTTGAGCCCCTTACTTGGCTGTGGGCATGAGAAAAGACAAAGGGGCAGAAATGTTGCTGAAGGTTTAACAACCCTCTGCCATCAAGTCGGTTCTGACTCAGATGGAGTTTCTTCTGGGTTTCCAAAGCTATAAATCTTTACAGGAAGAGTCATGGTATTAAAAGATAGAAGGAAGAGCTATGGAGACATTATAGAGAGAATAAAAGTTTCCTCTTCTTTATTTCAAGTATTGCTGATGTATGACTGGTCATATACTGATCTACTCTCAGTAAGATAAAATTAAAAGTGGTCTATCTTCTTCAACAAATGGTGCTGGCAAAAATGGACTGCGACATGCAGAAAGCTCAAACAGGATCCACATTTCATACCATATAAAAAAACTCAACTCAAGGTGGATCAGAGGCCTTTGGGAGTAAAGCCTCAAACGATAAAGTTCATAAGAGACAAACTGAGATCAAGCTTAGAAGGCCTAGTTTACAGTATAAAGGGACTGCCAAATACAGCCAAAAATGCACAATCTAAAGAGGGTAACGCTGATTAATGGAACCTTCTAAAGATTAAATCCCTGTGCACATCAAAACCTTTTTCTAAAAAGGTGAAAAGAAAACCCACTGGCTGGAAACAAACATTTGGCAATACCATCTTACACAAGAGTCTCAGAAAAATAAAGTATTTAGAAATCACATACGTGATAAAGGACTCCTATCTAAAATGTATATTAATAGTTTAGCACCCCAACAAGAAAAAGGTAAACAATTCAAATTACAAAATGGGCACAAAATAAAAATAGACAGTTCACCAAAGAAAATGTTCAGATAGCAAACACATGAAGAAATGTTCAAAATACCTACCTCCATAAGAGACGCAAAGCAAAATAACTATGAGATATCATCTCACTCAAGCAACAAAAGCAAAGTTCAACAGAACAGCAAAAACAAATGCTGCAATGAGGGAAATTGGAAGAATCTGGTCTGATAAACAATGTATTTGAATTTTGTAAATATGCTAGTATAATTTTTTAAAAAATGAATTGGGGGGATAGGGGAGGAACAAAAATGTACAATAATAAATGAGTGAAAATCCAACTTTTCTGTAAACTTTCTTAAAAATCACAATTAACATAAAAATTTTATAATAAATACATACATACATATAATGATAAAAAAAGTGGTCTATCTTAATCCAAAGAGCCTTGGTGGTGGGGTGGGTAAGGCATTAAACTGATAACCAGAAATCTTTCCATATTAATCCATCAACCACACCAAAGGAAAAAGATAAAGCTGTCTGCTTCTGTAAATATTCATAGCCTTGGTTCTACTCTGTCCAGTATCAACTCAATGGCAGTCATTTTTTGGTTTGCTTTTTTCCCAGGGTGGCCAATAGGGGTTTATAATTTTGTTTTCCCTTCTTCATTTCTTGCTTATATTTTTTTTCATTTGTTTTTATAATTTCTTTAAGATCTCATCTGGAACTGTGGAGGCCAAAACTGTTGCAAGTTTTTCATGAGACATTCCACCCTTACAAAAACCACAACACTCCTCCTGTGTTCCAAGACCCTGGAAAAGTTAACCTCACCTTCTGATTGAGACGCTACAATAGCTGTATTTATGGATTCGGTTGTCAAATCTGTTATAGCCTCTGGTTTGGAGCCAGATGTGGCATGGATGTCTATGCTGACAACCTTTAGGATCAGCATCCAACAGACCTACAGAAGGAAGTGGTCTCTAGGGATCCTCTCTATCATTTTTACTCTTGTTCATTACACCACCTTCCTCAAATATCTCAGCACCGAAACAGATAATTCAAACATAGCTTGTTTCTTCAGCCAGGAGTCTGTTGTTACACAGCAGCAGTAAAGAAATAAACATTTAATGCTTATTAATGTTTTGCCCGTTGTTGTCTTTCCATTTTTTTTGCATATATGTTGATCATGTTTGGTGCTGTTGAGTGGACTCCAACTCACAGTGATCCTTAGGTGACAGACTAAAACCTTACTATTGCAGTTACTGTGCCAATCCATTTTGTTGTCCTCTCCTCTCTTTCCAAGCACGATAGATTAACTACCAAGTAAGATTATTCCAGAGGTTGTTAACAATTACAGCTTACTGAGATCCAAAATCAACACTCTTAACACTAGTAGTCAGGAAATCAAAAGACAAATTGCATTGGGAAAATCTACTGTCATGGACCTCTCCAAGAGTGCTGAGGAGCAACTATGTCAGTCCAGATACAAAGGTGCACCTAATCGAGGCCATGGTCTTCTCAATTAATTGCATATTATGTTTCAGAGAGTTGGACAATGACTAAGAATGACAGAAGAATAGATGCCTTCTAGTTGTTGGAAAAGAGTCTTGAACATACCATGGACTGTGAAGAAAGCAAATAGGTCTGTCTTGGAGAGGGTGAAACCAAGACTTTCCTTGGAGGCTAGGATTTTGAAGCTCCAACTCACTTACTTTGGGCATGTGGCCAGGAGAGTTCAATCCTTGGAGAAGGATATCATGCTCAGAAGGGTGGATGGACAGCACAGGAGAGGGACACCCCAGATGAGATGGATTGATACAGTAACTGGGGCAATGGGGGTTGGTGTGTCAGAGTTGGTGAGACTGGCTCACGACAGGGAAGGGTTCAGAGCTGCTATACATAGGATCGCTATGTATCGCAGGTGACTCAATGGCACATAAAAACAGTAACATACTATGACAGGTTTGGAAACAGGAGTGACACCCACTTCCTAGACAACCTGCCTCTGGAAAGTCTATGAACTTTGATAAATGTTCACAGCTGTAGAGGGGCTTCAGGCCTTTTGTTCATTGGGTCGCTATGAGTCATGCTCGACTTGAAGGCAATCAAAAACAACAACAAAAACAACAACAAGGAAAGAATCTGTAAACACTGCTGGTGTACTTTGCAGTGAGTTGTACTGCTAATTCAAAGGCTATATACCTGCCTCCAATGTTTTTAATCTACCAAGCAAAAGAAAGCTAGACATCTCTTCTCATTATAATTCACAGCTTTGGAAACCCAATGGAGGGTGACCAGGAGTCAGAACTGGCTGAAGTGCAGTGAATGAACAAGTGAGTGAGAGAGTGAAGAATTGTCTCCCTCTGGAAGACGTCACTGCTGAAGAAAACATGTGGCCTGGAAGCATTTAACAATTGAAATCATTTGGACAGAAGTATTTTATTACTGCTTCTCTATTATTTTTTTAAATCACTAAAAGCACCATTCAACCTTTAAATCAACAATATATTTTGAAGAGCCATTAAGTATTTCTCTACCTCCTGAGATACTAAATGCAAAATTCTTTCCCTGTGTCATCTCCTGCTTCTTCCCTCATCCTCCACAAAAAAGTCTACAGGATGAGTAAGTGCTATCCCAAATTAATGTCAACCCATCTGTTCTTTATTAATGGATTTCAGTCCTACATTAAAACACAAACATAGTCAACCCAATCCACCCAAACTCCAAAAACTAGATAAATACACTCACCTCTTGCCGTTTGAAGTTCTGGACATACTCTTCAAACTGTTCATCTTTTGTCTCATCAGCTTTCCCAAGTTTCTGAAGGACCTAGTATGGGAAGGATAAAAAAATAGTCTGATTTAACGTTGTCAAAAGATGATGTACATTTCAGTTGTAGGAAGAGCAAACGTTCCTATTTTGCTCTCCTGAGGAAAGCTCTATCTGAGCATGGCTAGGTTTATTCTGGAGTGGCAGCACTGGAGTTGAAAAGGCCTGGATATTACTTATACCAGCTGTGTGACCTTGATCAAGTGTCATACTGCAATATATTTATTTACATATCTCCTCTGTTACACTATAGAAGTCTTAAAGACAGAAACTATGTCTTATTTTTATTTTTGTTCACATTATACTTTATCCACATTATACCACAACACTTGATACATAATAGGTACTCTATTTTGGCAGAATAGTAAATCAAACTCATTTCACTAAAATGTTAATGTACCTCTTTGGGATATACTAAAGTTACTAAATACAGGCACAAGTATGTTCTCCCTAACCAATGTCAGATACTTCCTTTTAAAGGGGGCTCTAGTGATAAAGTTGGTTATGTGTTGCATGGATAACAGAAAAGCCAGTAGTTCAAATCCAACAGCCATTCAGGAAGAAGACAGAAAGTCTCCACTCATCAAGATTTCCAGCCTTGGAAGCCCAATGGGATGCTACAGTTGGAATCAAATCAACTATGGTAAGGTTAAACACTCAAAGAAGTATTAGAATACACAGGAGTTGCATCCACTTCCTAAACAACATGTCTCCAGAAACTATGAATTTTGATAAATGTCAATAGTTGCAGAAGAGCTTCAGGTTCTTAGGGTCGCTATAAGTCATGCTCAACTTGAAGGCAATCAACAACAACAGTATACAAGCAGAGCACAGACAATCTTTGCTTTTCATGTTTACAGAATTGTACAGCAAAAAAAAATTGCAAGAGAAACTATCTGTTCTTAGATGTAAATGTAAAAAAATAAATATAACTAGGTGACAGCATAGTTCCATGCTTTGTCCTTAAAGGAAAAGAAGGAGCCAGAACTCCCTTACTTATATAACATATCTACATCATGATGCTAACTGCCTTTCACTGTAGTAATAGCAGACAATGTATGGTGGAAATACCCATAGAGTGTACAAAAGAAGTGCTACCTGCTGTGTATACTACATAGAGTATCTGGAGTGAGCTTTACCCACCACTGTCCCACAGGGAATTCAGGGGAAGCCTTGCAGATATGGAACCTATGCTGACTCACAGAATCCCACCACCAACACGTAGGAACGCACCATCTCCACTATCACCACTTTGAATTTCTGCTTCAATGTACCTACAGAGCAAGACCACCAAACCTGGAAAGCGGGAAATATCCCTTCTCCCTATTCTCTATAAATGACCAGATAGAAAGGTTTCCATTAGGAAACAGAGTGGGGAGAAACTAGAATAACATGTCTCTTACTCACTGAATAGACAGTAGCTTTGTCCATCATCTAACAGTAAGCAAAATACCTCAGTTAAGAAACTCACTGCCAGTTTCAGTCCAGCACTTAAAATCTGCAGCTCTATCACCACTATTATAAAGATAAGGAACTGACAGCTACCTATACAGACAGAACAGAAGCTACCTCACACGAACCAAGAAGAACCTCACATAATGGCAAGGAAACAACAGTCAGGTTCAAACATTATGGGGGAGAAAAAAAAGAAACAAATAGCCTTCTTCTAAAGAACAGATCAAGTCATGGAACAAAGACAGGATGGCAGAAGAAATAAGACTGGTATGGAATTCCATGAACTGTATTTATGAAATTATAAATGATGCAAGAAAGAGTTGAACCCATAAGCAAAGAGGTATAAAAACTTTTTAAAAATCATCATAAGGAGGAGATGGTACAAACAACACAATACTAGAAATAAAAGAAAAGCATGAAAATGCAATCCTGAATAACAAGTAAGTATGAAATTTTCAACATGTTCACAGGGCAAAAGAACAAGGTAGAAGAAACAGAACATAGAGTCAGTGAGATAGAAGACAAGACCCTCAATGATAATTTCCTAGAAGAAAAAGCAAACAAAAAATGGAAAGTAGATGAAGAAAACATAGAATCATGTGAGATGAGATAAAACCAAACAACTTATACGTGTGACTAAAATTTAGAAAAGGCATACTGAACCCATGAAAACTGTCCATCAAATATAAAGAAGAGATCAAGATACTTCCTAATGAATGGAAATCCAAAATCTCTGTAAATGTTCACTGAAATTAATTTACAAAAAATAAAAGATACTTGATGAAAAGCAGAACCTGAGGGAGTTTGAAAAAACAAGACCAGCATTGCAGGAAACACTGAGAGACTTCCTTCTTACAAAGGTACCATAGAAAGCAGGATGGAGCAAGGTAACCATTAGCAACACCAAAAAAGAACTCAACAAAATGATAGCAATAAACCCTTGCCTCTCAATAATTACATTGAATGTGAATGTTTTAAATGCACCATTGAAGAGAAAAAGAATAGCAGATTGGACTGAAGAAAAAAAAAACAACCAAACACAACACCAAAACCATCAATATACTGTACACAAGAGATACACCTGAAAAATGAAGATAAACTAAAAAGAAAATGGTAGAAAAAAATATACCAAGCAAATGGCAACCAGAAAAAGGCAGGTGTAATGATATTAATCTCTAATAAAATAGATTTCAACATAAAAACCAAAACAAAAGACAAGGAAGGTCACTATATAATGACTAAAACATCAGGAGAACAAGAGGACATAACAACAGTGAATATCTATGTACCAAATGAAAGAGATGGAAAATACATGAGGCAAATATTAACAAAATTGAAAAAAGAAATAGACAACACCACAACAGTACTAGGAGACTTCAATATACCACTCTCAAAAAAAGATAGAATTACCAGAAATAAGCCAAATAAGGATGCTGAAGAATTTATCCACACAATAAAGCAACTCGAATTCATTGATATATACAGGCTAATGCACCCCCCAAAAAAGCAGAGTATACCTTCTTCTCCAATGTACAAGCAACATTCTCCAGAACAGATGACATTTTAGGTCACAAGGTAAGCATCAATAAATTAAAAACATAGAAATAATACAAAGCATCTTTTCAGGCCACAATGCTACAAAATTAGAAATTAATAACAAAAAGATAAAGAAGAAAAAACATGCATTTGTAAGTTGAACACCATCTTATGCAAACATGAGGGTAATAGAAGAAATTTTTAAAAATGAAATTTAAAAGTTTTTTGCAAAAATGACAATGAAAACACAACTTACCAAAGCCTCTGGAAAACAACTAAAATACTAATTAGAGGTCTATTGACAGAAATACGCAAACACATTAAAAGGGGGGAAAATGATAATTGATTCTTTAACCCAACATCTCCAACAAATTGAAAAAGAACAACAATAAAATCTGACATTCTCTAAAAAACCTGAAATGATAAAACTTAGTGCAGAAATAAATGAAATAGAAAACAGAAAAACAAATGAAATCATCAACAAAACCAGGAGCTGGTTCTTCAAAAAGGCCAATAAAATTGACAAACTAGCAAAACTAACAAAAAAAACAAGACACAAATAATCCAAATAAGAGACAAAAGGGGCAATGTCACAACAGAACCAACTAAAATTAAAAAGTTTACAATGGAATATTATGAAAAATTATACTCAAACAAATATGAAAACCTAGAGGAAAACAACAAATACTTATAAACTCTCAACCTACCTAAACTGGCACGGACCAAAATAGAACACCAGAACAGAGCTATTACAAAGGAAGAAACTGAACAGGTAATAAAACAACTTCTGGGGGGGAGGGGGGGAAAGCCCTGGAATTTTATCAAACATGAGAACTGTCACCAATTCTACATAAAGTATTTTAGAGAATAGAAAAACATGGAATTCTCCCAGACTCATTATATGAAGCAAACATATCCTTGATAGCAAAGTCAGGTAAAGAAACCACCAAAACAGAAAACTATTGGCCAATATCTCTCATGAACATAAATTTAAAAATCCTGAATAAAATCCAACATTACTTAAAAAAAAATTGAACATGACCAAGTGGGATTCATAACAGGTATGCAAGAATGGTTCAACGTAAGAAAAACAATCAGTGTAATTCATCACATTAACAAAGCAAAGAACAAAAATTACATAATCTTATCAATTGATGCAGAAAAGTGCTTTTACAAAATCCAACACCTTTCCTGATTAAAACACTCAACAAAATAGTAATAGAGGGGAATTTCCTCAACAGAGTAAAAAGTATATATGCAAACCCAACATTGCTCTCACTAGAGATTCCCTTTACAAACAGGAACTACCTGGCCAATGGACTGGAAGAGATCCATATTTGTTTCCGTTACATAAAAAAAAGTGATCCAACAGAGTGTGGAAATTATCAAACAATATCATTAATATCATATACAAGTCCTGATCAAAATTATCCAAAACCAACTGGAACAGCACATCAACAATGAACTGCAAAATGTGCTGGCTGGGTTTAAAAGAGAATGTGGCACTAGGGATATATAGCCAATGTTACATGGATCTTGGCTGAAAGCAGAGAGTACTAAAGGAATATCTATCTGTGTTTCATTGACTATGCAAAGGTGTTTGACTGTGTTGATCACAACAAACTGTGGTTAATTCTGAGAAGAATGAGAATCTCAGAATACTTGGTTGTCTTTGTGTGAAACCTATACTTGGACCAGGAGGCAATCATCAGAACGGAGCAACAGGAAACACTGCATGGTTCAAAATCAGGAACGGTATATGGCAGGGATGCATCCTATTTCCATACCTTTTTAATCTGTGTGCACTGAGATCTATGAGGAGAAATGTGGCATAAGGATTAGAGGAACACTCATCAACAATCTGCATTATACAGATGACACAATCTTGCTTGCGAAAACTGAGGAAGATCTGAGGCATTTGCCGTAGAAGGTCAAGGACTGCAGGTCTCACCACTGGGCCAATTGGCAGCATCATGATAGATGGTGAAGAGTTTGAGATTGTTAACAGC